AGATGAAACTGACTGATGTCTACATGGTATGATTGACCATCCATACAGTACAAGCAAACAGAATTTAAATAAAAGTTCACGAATAAGAAATTTATGATCCACTATTACCTTCCTTCAATATATCCAACTCAGAACTTACATATGCTAAAGCTACAGCTAATTTCTTGATTTTTTTTAACAAAATCCCAACAGAAATTACTCCTAATTTCTTGTTTATTGTTTAATTAACGCCCTCGTCTTCAAAACAATCTGTTGATTTCTATATCTACAAGAAGAACAATAAAATTCGACCAAATCATTCATGCACATTTAAAATCATTAATTTATTCCACACAGAAAATTACCACAGCTTCCTCCGTTAATACAAGAGGTTACCATCTCAAGAAAACAGAATGTAAAACACAAAAAGAAAATTACCTGTCTAGAGTTGGTGATGGCTAGAGAATGGGCCTCCAGAGAGAGCAGAGGCCGTCTCGGCCGTCGATCGGCTGGCACTCCAAATCCTCTTCAAAATTTGAACTGATCGAAAAATATGGTGAAAGGAAACGATTGCGGTCCACACCGCATTTTAAGACATTTTCATTTTTATTCAGTAAAACGCACTGTTCAAAGGCAACCAAACTAAAAGGAGAGGATAAAATATGATTTGAAGAGATTGATTGGCAAAAATCACAGAAGGATCAAATTACAGTAACAAAATACATGATAACTGCGTGTAGAGCAGATAGATCAAATCGAAAAGAAATCAACACAAATTCATACATAACCATAATTCCCACACAAGTCAATACAACTATATATCAACAATGAACATGAAAAATACGGAAACAAACTCAAGAAGCAACTGTTGCCAGATCTCCCCGGAGTAGGAAATCAACAGCACCTGTTTGCACCTACATGAAACAAAGCAAAAGTAGAAAAATAAAGTGTCACTATTATATAATATGCCTTGATTTTATGGTTAGAATTTTTATAGAACACAAATATTATAGAGAGTTGTAGAAACTTACTCACTTAAGAGCGTTGGTTGGGTTTTTGGGTTTTTCTCTGCTTATGACTTCGGCTCCACCTTCCAACTAATTTCTGTTGATATTTCTCCACTTTCTTCACTACCCACCATGGTTTTCCTGTAGTGAAGGCAATGTATCCCAGACTAAGTCCCAACACCAGTCCACACCCATAGCCTGCCAATGCAAACTTCCACTCAAAGACTGCTGTAGAATCATCTTCTTCATCAAATTGTGGTGAAGGTGGTCTTGGTGGTTCGCATTTCTTTGTCAACGGGAATCCACACAACCCAGAGTTCCCAACGTAGGAATCATTTGAGAAAGTACTGAACTGCTTCCCTTCAGGTATGTGGCCCACAAGTTCATTGTGTGAAAGATTCAAAACTGATAGGAACGTCAGCTTTGTCAATTGCTCTGGAATCCTGCCTTCAAGCTTGTTTGACGAGAGATCTAATGACTCGAGTTCTGCTAATTTCCCCAATGATGACGGGATTTGACCACTGAGACTATTGTGACATATGTTTAGCAATAAAAGTGAATTGAGTTCTCCTAGCTCTTTAGGAATTTCCCCATGGAATCGATTGCTTGAGAAATCAATGGTTGTGAAAATTGTCATGATCCTTTCAAGCTTCACCTCTAACCCTTTCATTACTACCTTCACAGAAAACTTTAAAGCAATAGGAGAAACTGAGGCACCACGACTTAGAGGAGAGGTACCCCTTCTTAGCAACGCCTGAAAAATGTATTTTGCTTTGAGTTTAACAGCTTGCATATTATCACCAATGTATTCCAATTTGGCTTTATCAGCTGGAGCTACATCTCTCATACCTTTCAAAATTTTGAAATAGTTACTTGGTAGGAGACCCATAAAATCATTCTGTGCGACATCAATTATTCTCAACTGAGGGAAGTAAAATGCAGGCATAGAATTGCTAATGGCACCATGAAATTGATTAGATCGAAGGATTAGAACTTTTAGCCGCAGAAGAACACCTAACCAACATGGAAAGGTATCGTTCAAGGAGTTGTACCCAACATCTAGAACTTCCAACTCACTGCAATTTCCCAAAGATGATGGCAGTCTCCCTTCCAACTGGTTGCCATTTAGGTTAAGATTTCTCAGTCTACTCCCATTGACAAAAGAATTTGGTATTATACCATGAAACTTATTCATCCGCAAATCCAAGTCGGAGAGATCACTCAAGTTTCCAAGACATTCTGGAATTTTTCCTCCCAAACAATTATTACCTAAATCTAGAACTTTAAGAGAAGTCAAATTGCAATAAGAAGAAGGGATTACACTAGTCAAATTATTCCCTGACATGAAGAGATGTTGCATAGAATCCTGAGTTGTTGAGAGAATGGGAAGTGATCCTTGTAGTATGTTAGATCTGAGGTCAACAATTTCAAGATTTCCAAAACCAAATAAATCTATACCAGTCAAGAAGTTATAAGAAAGGTCTAAGTAGTACAATGACGACATCCCTTCTATTTCCCATTTGTGAATTTGACCAGAAATCTTGTTCTTGGAAATATCCAATATTTCCAACCTCTCTGCCTTCCTTAAGAAACTTGGGAACTTGTGTATGTTACAAGAAGAGAATATTAAAAACCGAAGGTTTGGAAAGGAATGGTTGACACCAATGCCATTATTGCTCAAAGACAGCAAACTATTATTGGAAAGATCAAGATCCTCAAGGTCTACAAGCTTCGAAAGCATGTCCGGTGTAATGGTGCCAGTTAAGTTATTTGAAGAAAGGTTGACTCTAGTAAGATGCACAAGATCAAAGAAAGAGCTAGGAATTGAACCACTTATCTCATTATTGGACAAATAGACTTCTTGTAAAATGAGATTGGGCATCTCAACATGATCAACTGGTCCGGTAAGGCAGTTGTTTTGGAGGTCTAAATGGGATAAAGAAGGCAAAGAAAACAACCAAGATGGTACATGACCTAATAGCTTATTTGATGATAGTGACAAAAAAGTAAGATGGGTGAGGTTAAAGATTGATGCAGGAATTTCACCAACAAAATTGTTTGCTTCTAAGCTCAAATAAGTTAGCTTGTGTATTTTTCCAAAAACATCTGGTATTTGCCCTCGCAAATGGTTGGAAGAAAAATCTAGTTGAGTTATCTCTGTAAGATTTGCAAGAGATCTAGGAATTGATCCATAAAATTGGCAGCTAT